GAGGAAACAGGACCCTACCATTTTGGTTGTTGATGATGTTTTTATTGTTGATGAGATTGATGTTGTACAATGATTTTGTAGAAGAAGAAAACTGGGAATTAATGTTCAAATGAGAAGAAGAATGGAGGCGAATCTCATCAAACCCGCTAAGGTTACAGAATCAAGGAAACAAAGTGCAAAGAAAATTCCCATTAAATGAATGAAATATCCGTCAAGAATTATTACAGTACATTCAATATGACACAAATCCAAGAGAATCCCTACATTTTGTATGATTTACTGAACTCACCATTATCAGAGATGTATTTTCATCTACCATTGGTTTGGAAATGCTTCCTTGTAATTTGACTCCTCTTCCACAGTTAACTGTCTTACTGTAGCATCCTTAGCACGGGTACTCAGTAGCTTCTGGGCTAGCCTGTCTTTAGTAGTTTCTTTCCTTTTCAGCATGGATGCGAGAGTGTCTCTCTTGTTTCTAAGCAAAGATCTTGGGCCGCTGACTGCCTCTGTATCCTCACCAATATATGAAGATCTTGAAGTTGAAGCAAGTGCAGCATCACGTAGAACTGCTTCATTGTGTTCTCTAACTTTTGCAAGCTTTGCTCTTTTCAAATCCTGTTTGTCATGGTATCTCTTCTTAGCTGCCTCTTTGTCTCTCTCACGAACATTTCTCACAGCCTGCTTGACTAACTTCTCAACTAAATCAGGACTCATCTCTTCCCCTGAGGAGTTACCGCCCCCCAACTCAGGACTTGAAGTCAGATTGATTGGTCTCCCTTCATCATCCCGAGGAATGATTGGTCCATGAAATGGACAAACTCTCAAGTCTTTTCTTGGACAAAGGCCCCCCTTCTTCAATGGGGCCCGACATGGTTGGATCTCAACAGGTTCCTCTTTGTAAACAATTGCCTGAAGATTCAACTCAGCAATTTTTTCTGCCGGAATCACTGCATCATAGTCTACCCTACCCCAATGATTTTCAATTTCTAAACCCCTCTGATTAGCCAATACATCTTGGTTTGAGCCCCAGTTATCCAAGAAAGAACCCCACTTCAGAACTGGGGCTTCAGCCATTAGCTTACTCCTCACAGGATTAGGTTCCATATGACTGTAGCCACCATCCAGTTTCTTCGCAGCTACCAACTTAGATTTGCTGCCTTCAGAAGCTTTGCCTTCAAACTTACTGGAAGTGGATGCAACACATAACTCGCTCTTTTTCTCTTCAATAAATGATTCTCCATTTGCATGTGATTCCAGAGTACCCTCTTCCCAAATATCTTCTTCCTCAGAAGTTGTACTTTTAGGAAGAGCACAACCTGAAACTTCACATTTTGTCTTCACCGATTGAAGGTGATTTCGAATATCTATGAGCTCCTTCAATGTGTTGTCTCGGAACCTGCTATCTGCCCCTTCCACCCTTATGAGGACAGAGGTCCATTCTTGCACTGCAGCCAAATGCTTTGTTACTAGAACTTTGTATAGTTCTCTCAATGCATCAAAAATTACCTTATTCTCACTATTCTCTTGAAGCTTTTCACCTTCTCTCAAGGAGTCTAGACGAATTTGTCGCAGTTCGGCATTGTGGAATTCTTCTATTTCCTCTTCATCCACAGGAACCAAAGGCACATTATCATCTTTATTTTGAATAATGTCCAGACATTCACTAATTTCATCAACTGTTGACTGAATATCATCTCTGATTGATGGCAGATTTTCCTTCAAGCTTTCAAACTTCTTCAGCAATATTTCTTTTGTCCTAATCTCTTTTTCCCTCCTTTCCTGCTGAATCCGAGCAGCATTTGCTTGCAAATTAGGGAATTGATAGCGAAGGGTATTCTTCAGATAGTCATACCCTAGCCTCAGCTGCCTGTAATGTATACCAAATGATGTGTTCCATTTCTCCAAGAACTCAATAGCCTTTGAACGCAGAACAGATGCAACAGCAGCAGGAGCTGGTAGCGGCAGATTCCTCCTGAATCCTACACTTAATGTGAGCAACTGATCTAGGTTCTCAACAAGAAGAGTTCTGAAAAGCTTTGACCGCATGAACAACTCATCTATTATGAGAAGTGCAAGGTATCGTACCTGTACAACAAGTTGAATATGTTTAGTTCCACCATGCAATTTTACTCCTGTATCATGGGATGGAATTTTGAGTAGAATGGAGATGTATGATTTAAAAAGGACTAAAAATAACACAACCCAATTTCCCTCTATGAAACAATAGTAATGTCATATCAGACAGCAAATGCCTTCTGGAGAAAGCAAAGGCTATCACTCCAGCTTCCACATAATTTTTCATTTTCTTCTGTTTTATCCATTCATGCACACAAATCCATAGCTGAGAATCAGATCTGAATGCTTTGGGCCTAAGGATCCACAAGTCTCTCTCTCTCTCTCTCTCTCTCTCTCTCAGCACGCACACACACAAAGACACAGGTTTTTTACTGGCTTTACCTATAACACAGTCTCTTCAAAATGAGCTGAGCTGAAAATGGATTATAGGAGAATTATCAAAGGCTTTGACTACAAGTGAGAACTTATGCAACTTACTATGTTTTCTGGGAAAGCATCTAACCCTCAGCCTTCTTTTTGGCAATTAAGAAATATATTCCTCTCCTGAAGCCATTTTTTACATCATAAACTAATTTTCCCAAATTTGTCAGCAATACTCTTGTGTCAACGGGTGCATCCTAACTTTTTCAGCAAAATAGTACATCTTCCAACTCAAGACACTAGATTTAGTAAATATAGCAAAAGAAACAACAAATTATTCAATCACATGCAATTTTCACGTAAATTGATCAGCAACCACATTACACTTAGTTACCCAAGCTTTTCCTTTTCGTTTTAGCTAAATACTCATTCCTACCTAGTAAATACATGATACCATAGAATTCAATAATATTTCACATCAAATAGAGTTATAACATCCTATACCTACTTCAAAAGCACTAATTTAGCAAGATTTATGTAGGCATATTGTAGTTTCCAGAAGATTATAAAAAAGCCAGCACTAATTTAGCAAAAAATCAGCAGCCCGATCTTGCTCCACTTGTAGACAAATAAAGCAGACACCTAGACATTCATGAATTAGAAAAGAAATAGGAAAGAAGAAGAAGGACAAAAAGAAGACACTACCACAAACAAAGCTTATGAATCTCAAATACTATCAAAATCCTCAAGCTTCTTCATCAAAGTTACAACTTTTCTTTTCTAAAACCATTACCGAGTAAATATGTGCAATTTTGAGATCAGCCTTCGACCACCACCACAAAATTGATAACATAATTGCAAAGATAATAGAAAGAAATTTCCTAAAAACCAAAAAAAATAAATACATAAAGAGAAAAATGAAGCACCTGAGAGTGGTCGCGTTTCATGAGGGACGTTAGGGTTTGGGCGGCGAGTCGGAGCTCGGAATCGGAGTAACGAACAGCTGATTTAATGGCTTTGAGAAGGCGAGGGTCCACTTCTGGCCTCGTAGAATTCGTAGCTTTTTCTATCAAACCGACCACCACCACCTTCCCTTCTGCTCCCCCCTCCCCTTCCTCCCGCGCCTCCTCCTCCATTTTTGAGGTTTTCATTTTGCTTAGGACTAGAATAGTACGCATAAATTTTCCCGGGATTACATCCCAGTTTTCTGTTTTCGGAAAGGGTTGAAAGGTCAGCGGACGTTTTAATATTACCATTAAATCCTCACCGCCTAAATAAATTTTTAAGTATTTTCATTTGAGTGTCTCAACTTTTAGGATTTTACTAGCAAGTAAACTTTTATAAGTCATTGCTTCTTTTGGTGCACGTAATGAACTTCCTGTCCGAAGCTTCACAGCTGAAGAAATCATGAGGGCAACCAAGAACTTTTCAGAACCAGTCCGTCGCCTGTTTGGCTGATAAGTTTTTGGTCAATTTTATCTATTACAAGTTTTTTAACAATTTTAACTACAATAATCTCAAAAAATTTTAAAAAATTTTTAAACTATACTTCAAAATATTCAAAAATTTACACACTTTAAAAATTTTTCCTATAACTTTTACAGTAAAGTTTTAGATAAACACCAAAAAAACTCATTTGTCAAACGCGGTACAAGATTGATAATATATTCACAGGAAACATGGGAAAATGCCCGGTTTTTTCAATTTTTTTTGACTGGGTAGAAGAGCTTCATGTGCTTTTCTTACACTGGTAAAAAAAAGCTACATTACTGTCCTGAAATTAGTCATATGGCAAACAAGATTTTATCCTGTGTATTCACGAAATCCCTTTTCAATCCAAGAGTAAGTTTAGTCCTATATTACTTCTATTTCAACTTTCAACCCAAGTGGAAAAAGTGAAGAGATTATGATCCAAACTTCAATTACCTTTTAAGTTTTTTTCATCAATATGGCTCTGCTTGGATATCATTGTTGGGTTAGTACATACATAGTACTGTTTCGTTAAAGTAGCAGGTTGCCACTTGATATTTGTGCTGTTGACTTGAAGACATAGGTATACTCCATGTCAAGCTAGTTTTACATGAAACCAAATAGAAGCTGGCAGTGAACTGGTTGGATGTTTCTTGGTACATGCCTTCCTTGTCAAAGTCAACCATTTCTATCTATGTTACTATATTGTGACTTTCCATCCAATTGTAGCAGCCATGTAAGTTTGAGATAATCAAAGGTTAATTTTGACACTAAATGAAATCTAAATAAGCATATGGTTCATTCATTATTGTGTTTATTTCTATGTTCTGATCTTTGAAGTCCTATTCCGGGGAAAAAAAGCAAAATCCAATATGGAACAAATCATTAAAGTTTTACCATTTCTTAAACCAAGAAAGGAGAAAGAAGAAGACAAGCTATCATACTTTTTCAAGAATGGAAGTTCAACATTGGAGGAGGTTATTGCTTCTTTTGGTGGACGGTACGAACCACCTATCCGAAGCTTTGCTGCCTAGGAACTCATCAAGGCAACCAACAAATTTTCTGAACGAGTTCGTAGCACTAACATTGGTGATATGTTTGCAGTTAATTTGAAAGAACGACCAGTTTTAGTTAAATTTTATAGTGGGCTGACAAAGAATTCTTCTTGGAATGAAACTGCCCCTGATAGAATTATTCGCGATATAGTGGTTACTTCACAAGTTAGCCACCTCAAGAATGTCTTGCAGCTTATTGGCTGCTGTTTGGAATTTGCGTATCCAGCTATGGTGTATTATTATGCTCCTGAATCTGAGTTTCTTACCAATCGTCTCAGCCATCTTAATAATGATGGTAAACTACTATCTTGGAAGAATAGACTGACAATTGCGACTGGTATTGCCAATGTCTTGCTTTATCTTCATTCTGCATTTTCTGCACCCATCATTTTTGGGAATTTAACCATAAATAAGGTGAGAATCGACCAATGTGGTGTTGCTAAATTATTTGACTTCGGCTTATCTATTTCCCTTCCTCCTGGAAAATCAGAGGTGGAAAATCAGCTGAAATGGATACATGTTCCGTCTGGCCCTCAAGGTTTCAAGTCAAATATTGTTACTCTGAAGAGTGATGTCTACAGCTTTGGTGTGCTGATGCTCATGCTCTTTACTGGAGAAACGGATGCAATCAAGTATGATGAAGAAATGGGAGGAAGAATTTATATCCTGGATTATGTTAAGAGGCATATTTTGAACAATCAGTTCAACCAAATAGTGGATCAAAATATGTTCAAACAGCAAGGTAATTATAATGATCCTGAGGTAGAGCAGCAGTTGCTTGATTTCCTGGATCTCGCTTTGAGATGCACAGAACATGACCGAGCGGATAGACCAGATATGATTGAAGTTGCAAAGTTGCTCCGTCAAATGGAGAAGTCTGTTCGTTATTCTTAATTTGCTCTTCCACTGCCATGGACTATGGGCTGAGGATCAAGTGCTTTATGTTTGTATTTTCACAGTAAAAAGCTTCTGTAATTCATGGTATGTTAAACAAGATTTTCAAGTGCACAAAAAGATTTTTGGCAGATAATGATCAAGTATAGCCCCAAGAATCAGAAAACCGAATTTGTAAGATATTTTGATTTGCAGGTCAATTAATGTAACTGGCACAATGGTTATCGTGATCAGTCGCTTACAATCCATCATCAGTGATTTTGGAATCCGACTGAAAGTTTTCATTTCTAGAGAAATTAGTACACATGAATAGTTAATTAAATGAAAATTCCAATTTGAAACAAGTATATTTGGCTCAAAATAGGCAAGGCATATAAATGTGGCCATTTTCCGGATGTTTCAATAGCTTGAATTGATGTCAGGGATAACTGCTTGGATATTTCTTGGAACATGCTTTAATGTGCCAAAAGTCAATATATGCGTGTTGTTTTTGACTAATGGAATGTTCAGTTGGATCATACTTTGATGTTTTCATTGTCCAAAGTCCAGCCTAGAATGGTTTGTTTACTAAAAGAGAAATCATTATTGTTTATCTACATCGGAAGTATCGTACTTTTGTGTCCAATGCAGACTTCACCAGATCAAGATAATCAGTTGTAGTTACAAGGAAGTAAGGTAACAAGAAAGCTCATTGATCTCTTGGAGATTTTGACCATTAAATCTTGATAGTCGGTAGCGTCTGCTTCATTCCTGTTAATTGTTCTTCCTGAGATAATCCAGTTCCCAATTTGAACTGTGAATCATGTTAGGTTGCAAATATGAAGTTGAATAAAATGATATGCATCTTTGCTTTCCTTAGACCCAAACTAAGAACGGAGGAAGAAAGAAGAAGATTTTTCTTCTACAAGAATGGAATTTCAATATTAGAGGATCCCATTGCCTCTCTTGGTGCACCTGGATGTTTCTTGGAACTTGCCTTCATGAGCCAAAGTCAATATTTGAGACTGCTAGATGCTGTTTGACTAATGATTTTAGATCATGGACTTCACTGTATCATACTTGGATATTTTCGTTTCTATTTCCAATCTATAGTATGGTCCATTCTGTAACAAAGATACAATTTTTTCTCTATAACGCAAGTATCATACTTTTGTCTCCATTGCAAGATTTCTCCAGTTCAAGGCAATGAGCATTGCTCACAAGTTTTAAGGTAACTAGAAATTGAGCTCATTCATCTATAGTTGACAGCATCTGCTTCATTCCTTTCATAGTTTTGTTCTGAGATAAGATAATCCAGTTCCCAGTTTGAGGTCTGAATCAGGTTACATTGCCAAAATAATGATGGATAAAATGAAGCGTGCTTTTGCTGTCCTTAGGCCAAAACTGAGAAAGGAGAGAGAAAAAAGATTGTTTTGCTTCTACAAGAATGGAGGCTTAGTATTGGAGGATCTCATTGCTTCTTTTGGTGCACGTTATGAACTTCCTGTCCGAAGCTTCACAGCTGAAGAAATCATCAGGGCAACCAGGAACTTTTCAGAACAAGTCCGTCAAACTAAGATGGGTGATATGTTCACAGGAAACATGGGAAAACGCCTGGTTTTAGTTCAATTTTACAATGGTCTGGGAAAAGATTCAAGGTGGAATGAAAATGCTTCAAACAGAATCATCCGCGACATAGTGATGAGTTCACAAATGAGGCACCTCAAGAATGTCTTACAACTTATTGGTTGCTGCCTGGAATTCGAGCATCCAGCCATGGTGTATTGTTATGCTACTGGAACTGAATTTCTTGTTGACTGCCTTAACCTGCCTGCTGATGATGGTAAAGAAATACTGTCTTGGAGAAGTAGAATAAAGATCGCGAGTGATGTTGCCAATGTGTTGGTTTATCTTCATACTGCATTTTCTACACCTGTCATTTTTGGCAATTTAACCATAGACAAAGTGATAATAGACCAATTTGGTGATGCAAAATTGTTCGACTTTGGCTTATCTATATCACTTCCCCCTGGAGAACTAAAGGTGGAGAATCAGCTTAGGTGGGCAGATGTATACACAGATCCTCAATGCTTTAAATCATACTTTGTCACACAGAAAACTGATGTATACAGCTTAGGCGTTCTTATGCTCATGCTCGTAACTGGAGAAACAGATACTGTCATGTATCATACAGGAATCAAAAGACTGATTCATATCCGAAAGCATGTCAAAGGGTACCTTGACAATGATCAGCTCAACCAAATTGTGGATCCTAAGATAATGGAAGAGGTAGGAGATAATTGTGTGCATGAGCTAGAGCAGCAGGTGCTAGCTTTCTTGGATCTCGCTTTTAGATGCACAGAACATGAGCGAACCAGTAGGCCGGATATGATTGATGCAGCAAAAGAGCTTCGGCAGATGGAGAAGTCTGTTTATCGTTGCTAGTCTATAACCTGTTCACAATTGAAGTTTTCTTGACTGGGTAGAAGAGCTTCATAGTTCTTTTTACACACATAAAGAGGGATAAGATTTCAAATTGTGTATTTCATGAAATCTCTTTTCTTTTGGTCCTAGATTTGATATGTGTGAACAACTATAACATCTCTAGCATATGTTTCGAGAATCACAAATGTAAACTAGCTGCTAGTCTGCTACAAGGTTGAGTCGCACCTGACTATTGGCACTGGATATTGAGAAGCTTATTACTTGATAAATATCACGTCTTGTATATTGGGGAATTCAAAACTACAGATCCAGTCATAACAAGAATAGCGTTGGAGAGCATGTTCAAATTCCAATTATGGTTTACTTAAATAGACATTGCTTTTTAATTCAGGAAAAAAGAAGGTCATGATCAAAGAAGAGAAGGGAGAACAGAAAAAACAAGGCCCTTGAACAGGGTAAAAAGCCAACATTACAAAGATTACCTTTACATTCATCAAATCAGATCATGGTTCGCAATATCGGCTGAGTCGTAAGTGGAATGGAGGGGACCGATACGATACCGATCTCCGAATTACGGATATTGCCATATCCGCGACGACTTGCTTTGACTTAGTCGATATTGGCCGATTCGAATCCATGATGCATGATATTGGTCGATATATCCGAGTCCATTCGGAATTGATTCGGATATTTTTTTAATTGTGCTCTTTTTGGTATTTTATAATTTTAGTAATTTTTTCAAAATTTTTGGAAACTTTCATGTGCTATAATGTGCGTATCACCCGATATTTAACTGATATGCCGTGACAGATGCGGAGCAACCGAAACCGCGACAGGAACGCGACCCGCAATAGCGAACCATGGATCAGATAGGTAAGAGTATTTCTTTTATCTAAGCAACATATGTTAAGCTCTACTTTTGTAAATGTAGATGAGATCTTCAATTCAACTATTTTAAGTGTCTGAAAAACATCAAGAACTACAATAGTCACATATACCAACTAATTAATAAGGAGGTGCAAACACATTTTTCTACCTCAACTCTTTCAAGCGGGACTAGTTCTGTTCCAGACACACGTATATTGAAAATCGTGGAAAGCACCAAGCATCTGCTGGGAAGCATCTTAATATGGCCTTTAGAGTCTAGGTCTAAACCAAACTTCATATGGTCATTGCATTGGGTAGCTCTTAAATGCATTCGTGCTTGCCTAGCCAATTAATTCTCTGACCTTTCTCATTCAATACAAACTCTCAGCAATTTCTTTGTGGAGCCCAGAAAGGAAAAAGATGTTGCTCTTTGTTGAATAAAGGTAGAAGAAAGAAAAAATCTCACTCTTCTTGACTAAGGGGAGGGGCAACCCAATTAAGTCGAATAAGGGATTAGAGGTAAGGACCAAAGGAGTGCACAAATATACTCTTTGAAATTTTTTAACTATACAGTGGAGATTTAAACTCTCAACTAAAAATTTGGAACGGGCTTTAAATCTCTTTTCAAGGGCAAGTTATCTTGTTTTGGTAGCTCCGTTATAGACAGGCAGAGGAGTCAATTGCTTATTTTGGTGATGTGTGTAATAATCTGATTAGTTACTAACCACTAGTTTTATTACTGTAAGTACAAGATCTTCATCAAACATAAAAAGTATGGAGGGAAAAAAAAACAAAAACATCTATACAATGGTCATGAGGCACACCTTTCTTTTTTTTTTTTTTAATTAATTTTTCCCTGAAATAGAGTTGATAAAGGGTAAATTAGCACATTAGGCAAAAATATTGAGGACATAATAGTAAATTCACATGGAGTTTCATTGATAGCGCGTGCTGAGATCTTTCTTGGTACATGCACTGAATGTCAAAGTCGATTGGATATATTCTGCTGCAGGAAAGCTGATCTCCCCAACGTTTCTCTGTTTAGCGTTCTGGTTGCAACTGGTTCCCTTCACAATCTTTTTACAGAAGTTACAGGTAATTAAATTTTCATCTATCTTTTGTAAGCAGTAAACCTTTAACTCCTAAAATTCTGATATCAGATGCTTCATTTTAATAATAATGTTTTGTTCTGTATTTGTTCTAAGATAATCGAATTCCTTTTGCTCTAATGTAATTTCAGAACCATATTCGTAAACATCCTTACATGGATCGTATCAGAAAAGCTTTACCATTTCTTAAAGCAAGAAATGGGGAGGAAGAAGAGAGATCATCCAACTTCTTGAAGAATGGAAGTCTAGTCTTGGAAGAGCTAATTGAATCTTTTGGAGGACGATACAAGCTTCCAATTAAAAGCTTCACTGCAAAACAACTCATCAGGGCATCGAACAATTTCTCAGAGCAAGTTCCTCACATGACTGATAATGGTTACATGTTCAGAGGTAACTTAGAAGGTCGTCCAATAGTAGTTAAACTTTACAGCAATATAGGCGACTCTGATAAATGCGTTCTTCGTGGAGCTACCCGCGACTTAGTGATTACTTCACAGATGAGCCACCTCAAGAATGTCTTCAAGCTCATTGGATGCAGTTTTGAATTCAAGTGTCCAGCTATAGTGTATGAATGTGCTGGAACTGAACTTCTTGCCAAGTATCTCAGCCACAAAAATGATGCTAAACGACTGTCTTGGGGAAGTAGAATAAAGATTGCCAAGGACATTGCCAATGTTATTGGCTATCTTCATTCTGCGTTTCCTACACCGATTATTTATAGAGATTTGACGCCAAATAAAGTGATAATAGACCAATGTGGTGTTGCTAAACTTTTTGACTTCACATTTTCAATATCTCTTCCTCCTGGAGAACTGCAGGTGGAAGATCGTGTTAAAGGGACATTTGGATACTTAGAGCCTCAATACGCAATTACAGGCTTTATTACTCAGAAGACAGATGTTTATGGCTTTGGGATGCTCATGCTTGTGCTTTTCAGTGGAGAAACAGCGATAATGAAGTATCAAGAAGGAACAGTAGAACCGATTCATGTCAGAGATTACATCAAAGACTGCCTTGACAATGCTCAAATTAACCAAATTTTGGATCCACAGATTATTGAAGGAGAAAACGGTGACGGGCTCAGGCAGAATTTGCTGGCGTTCCTGGATCTGGCTTTAAGATGCACAGAATATGAAAGAGCTGATAGACCAGATATGCTTGATGTTGCAAAAGAGCTCCTCCATATTGAGAAGTCTGTTCGTCATTAGCTCTACCACCACCACCTGATCATTGAATGAGCTCAAGGGCCTGATCCATGTTCTTACGGTACAGCTTCAAGATACAATTGTACGTCTGTAGGTAATGTCAGTAATAATCTGAACTTCAGTTACACAGAAATCTCTCTCAATTTTCAATGACTTCCTGAGAAATGCTTCATTATAACAGTGTAATCAAACTTCATTTCTGAGAAAATTATTGCATAGATAACATCAAATAGGCTTCATAATTGGCATTAAAAGCAATCTGGAGTAACTGAAAATAGGCTAGAAACTAAATATGTTTTGCAACATAAATATTTATCTGTACTCTTTAGATTTCCAACAAGCTCAATCAAACAAATGTTGAGTTCAGATTTTTAGCCATCTTTCAGGAAGTGAAGGAATATTGCATTGGATAATCCAAAACAGACTGAGTGATGCTGCAGGAAGATTGTTGTTTCTATATATTACGCCTTCTTATCTTTTTTTTTTTTTTTTTTTGTAGAGCCCTAGTGTGTAAAAACACTAATTGCCACTAATATTAATCGATTAAATAATTACTGATTTAATTGACTAATTTGGCAGGGGATTAACAAGTCACATTGAACATCGGGCCCTTGACATTCAATTAACAAAATAATCCCATGAAAATTCAAGTAGACAACATGCAAATATTAACAAATTAAAGAACGCATGAAAACTAATTAAATTTCACAGATATTCGAGACTGCACCGTTGAATTGATCCTTGACTAGATAAAAGGCGTAGCCACGCCTCATAAGAAAATTTCCGCACAATTCCATTGATTTCAAAGGCATTGGTTTCTTGCTATTAATCGAGAAAGAAAATTTGTTTTCCAGTAGTCTAATCGAAGAAACGCAAAAAGCGATACAATGATAAAAGAAAAGCAGCGGCCAATGAATAATCACCCAAAAGAAAAACTAACTGTCCCTAATCTAAAACAATTCCTAACTTCTCTACGTGGTCCCGCCGAATAAGGAACAAGCACAACCCAAAAAACTTCCTGCACCAACCGAGGCTTTCCTTCTTATTTTGTTTCCTATTACTAGTAGGACTCCAATCTCCTAATCAGCAAAGGAAATGCAATCCGTTTGTAGCACCATGTGGGCCCGGTTGTTTGAAGTCTCAATTGTCTCCAGAAAGTCCCTCATTTTTTGTAGTTTTCTGCTCCATTCCCTGAAATTAAGTCCAAATACCATATATAACCAAATGTAAGTAGATATTAACAATTAAAACAATATTTGGTAGGGACAAAGGGGAAATTAATAATAAAATAACTAACAATTAACACTCTATTAATTTGCACACGTTGTAACTCACTTTGCACAACATGTAACTATAGAACAAAATTTTGTGAACTCTACACATGGTATGAAAAACGATGTAAAAGATGAAATCTGAATCTTACATTTTTTTGGCCAAATCTTGGCCATCAATCTTTCGGAATAGTTGTTTCCTCCAACCGTTCCTGCTCCAAATCCTCAAAAGTCTAAATCACTTAACTACCAAATCAAAATTACATTTAATATATTCATGACTACAATACTAGAATGACTTATATATTCATGAGTGACGTTTCTATTTATACCGATGATATGGTTTCTCTTTCCTATACAGGGGATAATGCACTATTGGCACTTCATCAGTTATAGTTATTGAGGGCCGTTTCCAGATCTAACGTTTCTTGGAATTTTTGTTCTTTCTGTTGTTTAAAGATTTCATTTCCATATAAACAACAACTTTAATCTAATTTCAACCTAAATCTAACTGTGCTTCAAATTCTCTTCTTGTAATAAACAAATACCCTTCCTTTAAAAAACAAAAACCCTCAAAAAAAGGCAATTGAATTTGGCATCATAATATATTATTATTTATTTAATGGTAAGGGCATCAAATTTAATCCTGATAGGAATCCTTTTTTTTTCACTCTTTTGGCAGAATTTTAGCTAAATATCCTCAAAAACTAAGAAAGGGATGCAACTTTAGAGATATATCATAGTCATCAATTTTTTTAATTGAGAATGATGATATATATTGACTATGAATGGTATTCCTCACGCAGCATCCCATTTATTGAACTCTTGATCACCGTATAAGATTTTGATGACGAAAAAGCAACCGAGTTTGATGTTTTTCCGTAGCGTAAGAGATAAGAACTCATTGAAGTGACCTGACAGTAAGGAAATGGGGCCAAAACAAGACAAATGCATGCCAAATGTCAAAGTAAAACCACGCAATCTGCTTGAATCTTTCAGAAGTTCTATGCATAGTCTAAGCTGATCAATTATTTAAATCAGAATTAAGTTCGATACATAGGCAACTGGAGATACTTCCCATACCTTAGAATGAATTACTGGTTTTATGATATCTGAGAAATTTTCTTGAGGACCAAAGCCAAAAAATGATACCTCTCTTCAGAAAACGACAGAAGGAAGATGAAACCTCACCCTTCTTCTTGGAGAATGGAGGTGCCCTGCTAGAGGAGTTAATGGCTTCTTTTGGTGGAAGATATGAAAATCCAATTCGAACCTTTTCGCTGAAAGAACTACTTGGAGCAACGACGGACTTCACAGAAAGAGTCGTCCTGAGAGATAGTGGATGCATGTTTCGAGGTTTTCTTGGAGAAAAACAAATCTTGGTCAAGAGATTCTGCGCATATGAAGACATCAGCCCTCATGTTTTCCGTGGACCTATTCGTGATATAGCGGTTTCTTCCCAGATGAGCCACGTCAAGAATATCCTGAAGCTTAGAGGTTGCTGCCTGGAATTGAAATTTCCTGCTTTGGTGTATGAATGCTCTGCAACTAAGCTGCTTGCTGATCTCCTCTATCACCCAGACGTTGAGAAACTGTTATCTTGGAAAAGCAGAATGCAGATAGCAAAGGGCATTGCCAATGCAATTGCTTATCTGCACAATGCATTTGCTACACCTATAGTCTATAGGAACTTAAAGCCGTCTACAGTCATCTTAGACAAGGATGGTACTCCTAAACTATTTGATTTCTCCCTCTCTGTAAAGCTTCCACCAGGAAAATCACAGGTGGAAGACGTTGTAATGGGAACATGGGGTTTTGTAGATCCTGAACACTTGGAATCAGGCATTGTTACTGAGAAAACTGATGTGTACAGCATTGGTGTGCTTCTACTGGTGCTTTTAACTGGAAAAGAAGCCATGTGCAAGAATCATGTAGGGAAAAAGGTAGACATCGTGGATTATGTCAAGTATTATATTGATAAGAATCAATCTAACAACATTCTGGATCCTAGAATCTCGATGGAAGGAAATGTAATGCAAGACAAGCAATTGCAAGCTTTCTTGGACCTTGCAATGATGTGTACTCAGACGAAGGCACCCAATAGGCCTGATATGATTCAAGTTGCTAAAGAGCTCTGCAAGATAGAGAATTGTGCTAACCATGGTCAGCTTTAAATAGAAAGCACTGCAGGATGGAGGTTCAGAACTAGGGCATGAACTAGCTGAATTGGAAGCCATATCATTACATGTAAGAGACAGGTACGGAAAGCTTGTTAACCTTTTAAAGGAAGTAGGGTTGATCACTGAATAATGTTGTCATAAGTTCAGTAAATTCGCTAGAACGTCCAAGCTTTTAGTAAGCAGATTAACATATCTGTATCTAATGTATCTTTATCGAACACCAGAACCAATATGTTTGTTAACAAGATTTAAACAATAATCTCATTCCTATTCTCCAGTTAATGGCCAAGAAGAGGAACCAATCTAGGATAAGAACTATCCAGAGAATTTCCAATTCTTAAATGATATGATTGTTTCTTGACCAAGGATGAATCAATTTTCTAACGGCTACTCGATTCCCATCTTCTAAAACACTGTAAGTAGATCCCAAGAGCGGCCTACATTATAATTTTGAATCAGACAAGCAATCTGTGGCTTGAAGAATTTGATACTGTAAATTGATGTGAATACCCTACCAGTAAGCTCAAGAAGTTGGAAGATGTCACAAGGTGAAATAAGCAGCTGAAACTAAAGCAGGAAGATGATGAAAAGGAAATGCCATTGGGGGTCCTTGGACCAATGAGACCAGGATGGTGTCTGCGCAGTGTGGCTGTGACCACCCTTTCTTTGTTGTCTTAGAACTCCAGCCATTATGATCTATCTGCATTACAGCTGTCATCGTATCTTCCACGAAAAACATGCAAATGAGGCTTGAAACAGGAAGCAGTAGAAATTATAAGTCAATTAATTAGGTCAAACATATGAAAGGATCTGCTAAACGTTATTTGAGAAAGCAAGAGTTATAGCTATTATTGGACGGATTGCCCTTTCTCAAGAGTTATTGGACAGATAACCGTCAATGCTTTGTACAAGTGAAGAACTAAGACCGCAGTGCTAGCAGGCCAGCGTGATGAGCTTTCTGATTTGTCTAGAGCTCTTTTATCTGCTCTAAGCAGATGTAATACATTCTAGTACTTCACAACTAGTTCCATAGTTGGCCTGAATTTAGGATTATGGTGAAGACAAAAGGAAGCAAGAGAAAGTATTTCTTGAGCAACTTTTGAAGAATTTGCTTTCTAACTGTGGATCCATGATTTTCTCCAATTGACTCTTGAAATCCTTACGAGGCATGAAGAAATCAATCGGATGGATTTGTCCATGCTAAAGTAGAAGGCAAATGGGATGCTGCAAAAGATATCTGCAAATATGAAAAATGTGCTAATCTCTGACAGCTTTAATAGGAAGCAATCTGGAATTAGGTTTGAGAAACAAGGCATGAACTTGTTGAACAAGGAGTTGCGCCATGCTGATGAACTTGTAATCATCTCCTTAGGCTTCTTCACAACATATTCTCACAATTATGATCCTTGACCATGATAATTACAACTCCCGTGGACTAGGAAATTGTTTGATCAGGAACCACCTACAGAATGATTGATTCAATTCGCTTTACATTTTTGACGCAGGAACTGGAAGGGAAAATTACACCATCTCTCAAAGCTTCACCACAGAAACTGTTGTAATCCTGGAACCAAGACCTCTTGAGCTAGTGCTAGTCTTTGACAACCTTCATTCAGGTTTTCAAACAATAAAAGAGGTGAAATTTGCTTTTTAGTCTATTCATAATAAATGTGGAATTGCCAATAAGTGATAAATGCACAATTAGCTTTACTGATCATGCTAAAAAAATAACAGACAGACAAACAGAAAAACAAACGAAGACTCAGAATGTCTGGCAATGAACATTGGTGTGAATGCACTCGGATACTTCCAGGCATCCTGGGGAGATTCTCCATAGCAGCTAGAAACTTCCATCTAGCCATGATTGAGTGATTGATATGGAGATGATAATGATGATAACTGTTAAAATAATTAATTGATAGGATCAAGCCACTTGCCATTGTCACGCAAAATACTTCAGTTTTCTGTACAAGCACGCTTTCGAGTTCAGAAGCAATTCTGTCTTATGGTTATTCTGCACTTGGATATTCCAATTTGCCAAGAACCTACTGGATGGCGCCAAACTCATTACCTGCATTCCCTCTTTGCTACCTCCTTTGCAGTTCCAAGCACAAAATATTCAAGAAATAAAAAATATCATTGACGGTGTAGAAACAGAAATCCAATACTATATAATTTTGTTGCTTTTTAGCCTAGGCTAACATCCACGGATGGCCTATCTATAATTTGCTTTCTTTCATATAGTTTTCCTTTTTTTTTTTTTTTAGCTTTTCTTCTGTTCCATTTTCTGTTTTGTTAATTTTTCTTTTCATTTACGTTTTTTATCTTCGTTTATCTACTTCCGTTACCAGTATGTTCTTTTTGCCTTCCAGAATCCTTTAACATTATCATGTGATCACAAGAATAGGCCTGAGGTAATGGGTGAAATTTAAAAGACAAAACGATTTGAGCTAAAAGTTAATTTTGGTCTTTGTAACAGAAACCAGAAGGGACATAGTTCTGAGGGCAGCCACAACTTTCTTGGGTTGCAAAGCTTCAGCTTCAATTGGAAGGCTGTTAAAAGTGAATCATTGAATTTTGAGATGGTACATATTTTCTCAAGCTAAGAGTTGAGGCACAAATAATTACATTCGACATTTGAGAGTTGTAAGTAACTATGTACAGTTATCGTTCGAGTGATTTGATGTGTGAGAATGTACATTGTTTCTAGTAATAATCACTAGCAAATGTTAAGGGGCTTCACCTTGTCGCTCAAGCTCATTCTTGGAAGGACATCCCCATCAAAGGACTATAAAACTGTAATCACTATTACCTTTCACAGACAAGTGAGGCTTGGATTACCAAAGAAACAGAAAGCTGCAGAAGACACCAGTTAGCTAATCAGGACAAACATACGAAAGGATCTGTTAATTTTTAAAAGAGATAACAACAGTAAGCTATTATCGGCTGGGTTCGATCAAAGCATTGATAGAATCCTAGAACTATCAAGACGGCTAAAGTTGCTGGATATGTTGATGTGCTTTCTGCTTTATCAGGGCTCGTCTTTCCTTCTTAGCAGCTGCTACACGTTCAAGTACCTTGACAACTTCTTCCATTGATGGCCTGAATTGCGGTTCATATTGAAGACACATGGAAGCAAGAGAACCTAATATTTGTGCAGCTTTAAAAGGATATTTGCCTTCTAACTTTGGATCCATAATTTTCTTCAATTTGTCTCTTTCGAGATTCATAAAGTATGGAATTGGATCGATTTCACCCCAACTAAGCCGCTGTCTCCCTTTTGTAGATAAACCTGTTAGCATTGCAACCAATACCACACCAAAACCATACACATCACTCTTCACATTTATAAGCCCTGTTACATGAGAGAGACAATTATTAGTATTATAATCTCATTTTTTGTCAAGTCAAAGTTTTTTTTTTTTAATCCGAGTTAGCTACCACTGGAGCTTTATTTTCTTTGGTAGTGCTCTTGTAGCACAAGATCCCCAACCAGTAGTCTAGAATCTCAAGAGATCAATCTGGATGGGTTACCTGCACCTGCACCTGGAATGACATTCTCAGGAGGAGCATCAACATATCTTCTATTCCTTAAAAAATTAGGATGTACTTCATAGAAATAACTTAGACGGGTTATCTTTGCAGTGCCAAAACCTGATATCTTCGCATTGTAAGCCTGAAAACAAGATAGTAAACCAAAATTGAGATGGATGAGAATTGCATCAGTAAAAGATTTGTCAGCAGTTTTACTGAAGATATAAAAAGGCAGCATGCATTTTGAATTTTTTGAACTAGTTTGATAAACTCTGGTGGATAATTGGATATATATTATTTGATTGCACATCCAATAAACTTGCATTAGTCAAATATTTTGCTTCTCTACTTACACCATCAAGCAAGATGTCTGAGGTACCGAAATATTCATAAAAACCATGCTTCTGTGTTGCATGCAAGAATGCTAGGCCTCGAGCTGCTCCAATTAAAATGTTAAGTCTTGTGTCCCAGGAAAGTGGCTGAACATCAGAGCCAGCTAAAGACATCCAAGTATCAAGATTATTTCAATTGAAAATTTTCTAAAAATAGATGATGCTTAGATTGTTTGAGATACTAATAGTGCAATATAATCTAAATCTCACCTCTAAAGAGATGGTTGTCCAGGCAGCCACGTTGCATAAATTCATGGACAACAAGTAGGTCTTTGTCCTCACAATATCCAAGAAACTCGACTACGTTAGGATGAGAAAGCCTTCCAAGTGAGTGTATACGAGACTGCCCAGAAAATATGAAAGAAAAACATAAAGCATCACAGAAAAGTTTGAATAAGGAACGAAAAAGCAAATTAAAGTTCAGCTACCACTGAGTTTGCCAATGAAAGATTTCTCATATGGAGATGATGGCAAAAAATTTCCAGAGATCTTAGGAGGATATGCTCTTGTGTTGTATGAGGTGGAAAGTATGTTTGAACCAGGACGGAGCAAAACTTGGAAGTTGAAAATTAGATACCAGTTGAAAGAATTGGTTTTGCTAGAGATCTAAAGTTAGTTGCTACGTACAAGATTCGTTTCCATTACCTTAAATAACTGCATATATTCAGAGGACATATTTCTAACAGCAACTACCGATCCACTGCCATGCTTTGACGAGGATTTGTCTCGAAGCCAGGCTTGGTATACTCTCCCAAATTCAACTTCTCTCACAGCTATGTCGCATCCAAAATGTCTGGTTGCAGTCCTAAGTTCTGAATAGGAGAAAATAGTTAAACTGGGGTGAGCGAAGATCCCTCCATTTGGATAAGTCTCCTCAGAGCCACCAGCTTGTGAGATTCCATGGTTACTTGAGGCAGTACCACTTCCAAAAGTTTCTGTATAAGCAGTTGCAGGCCCTGTCCTTCCTGCAAGATATACTTTTATTTTCGCATTCCTCATTTCACGTTCTTAAAATGCAAATGACGTTCATAAACCAACCTACAAGCTTAGATCCCCAGAGTATCTCTGCAATCTCCATAGCTGCTCCAACTGAGACATGATTACCCGTAGTCGTGGGAGATTTACTGGTGAAGCATGATGATTTGATATGCTCTAAAGCCAAAAGTATCTGAGGCATTTTGGGTCGTTTAGAAGATTCAGGACTGACACATGCCTTAGCAATAAAAGAAACTGCCCATACATGGGCCAAGACATGCTTAGCCATGGCTAAAGATGAGTCGACAATGTTTATAATGAGTTCAGCATTGTCAGGGAGAATATTAGACAGCACGTCTGCCATCCAACCATTGGTTGTGGAATCATCTGTGGCACTTATACCCAGCTTGCCTGTGACTAGCTCCAGCAGGACCTTTCCAAAGCTATAAACAGCATAGGAACCAGATGCATAACTTTCATTAGATGTACCTGATCATTCATGATCAAGATAATAGACTAACTTAGACAAGAATATCCAGCACATCATCCACAGTTTAACTACTTTCAAATGAAATTCACTAATGATTACCAGGGAACCCAAAGGTTACTGAATGTATTGAAAAGAAAAGGACACAGAAAGATCTATTTGCTTTAGCAATTGTCATGGAACATGGGGAAGAAAAGCAACCCTATAGCTGAATCTGGAAAATTCTATGAAAATTGCTTTATCATTTTCATCTTTTAATAGGGAATATCCGTCCAACACTACACTGTATTTCCTTATTACTTCAAAATGATCAAGTAGATGGTTTTGCCTAGTATTACTATGGCATAGACATGTATACGCGAGGTCCTTTTAGCAAAATCAGGTCTATGTAATTGTATAGAATAAACTAAATTGAACTCAACAATTCTATATGTTAAGGTTACAATAGGTACGCTTCGTGCCAATTCAACCACTCATGTGGAATAACAAATGTTTCTTGATGAGGGACTATCACTGAATGAAACTTTACGTACCAATGGTGCCTTGTCCAAATGCCCTGAGAATATTAAGAATGAAATATACATGTCAGACATCAAATTTGAAAACTGGGTAAGCAAACGAGTGATGGTTTCAGTTTGGCGGGCATAGTTTAGACATCCCCAAGAACCAAATACTTGTAGAATCATGGAAAAGCAGAATGTAACACCAGTTTCACATGTAAAATTGAGGAGCATTAAGTGTCAATCTGACTGATAGATGTCATATCAACCAAAAGAAGTCAATTCCTGATCCCTTCTACATTTTCAAGACAGCAGATGGCTGTTTGGGGATGTTGCAATCTTGGCTTGATTTATTTTATTGTAAAGGGGGTAAGCTTATATCTACGCCCTCCTTTATATATAAAATTAGCATTATATGCGAAAGCCAAACGCCCTCAACAGGACAATTTTGATGTCTATCAATGTGCAATGAGCACAGTGCTTTTAAACTTTTGGCTACTGCACTGACCTGGAAATACCATTCTTCTGACGCATGTGGTTTTCTTCAGCAAAGACCTCATAAAGGCTTAACGTCACTTCAAACTTGTCATCAAGAAGTATGCTACTTGCTTGAATGTTGCTAGACAATAGAAAGATAAGCGGCAACTTATGTCCCAAAAGCCCAAATAAACATACAAATAATAAAAGTTTGCTAGGAAAAAGTGAGGAACATCTCAGCTACCTGTGAACAAGGGGAGGGACACATTGGTGTAGATAGCACAAACCCTCAGCAACTTCAGTTGCTATCTTCAACCTCGTTATCCAGTCCACCAATCGTAATTTTCTAAGATTACCTGAATCTATTTTTCTAGAGAAGAAAGTTAACAAATCCTTTTTAGCCATATTCTTGTAGACAAGAAACTTCTCCTTCTCATTCTCCAAGCAATGACCAATCAGAGGGACAAATCTATGATGATGAGAAACCTTCGCAAGAATTTCCAGTTCTTCTATGAAAAGGGATTCTTTGGTGACTGATGAGAGATCAATTTTCTTGACTATAACCGGAGTCCCCCCTTCTAGAACTCCAAAAAAGAGATCCCCAGAGTCGCCATGCTTGATGAGCTTGTTTTCACTCAAGTAATCCGTTGCTTGGAGAATTTGATTGTATGACAATGAATCCCCCACCAACAAGCTGGAGAAGTTGAACGATGAAACTCGTCGAGAGGAAGAAGCTAGATCGAAGGAGGAAAATGATGATAATGATGCCAAGGAAAGCTCACTTGGAGTCCTCTGAGCAGTGAGGCGGAGATCTTCTCTTCTCAGGGTGGCTGTCACCAGCCTTTCCCAGTTGTCACAACTCCTAGGCATCTATGATCTTTCGATCATGACTATCATCACTTTCCTATTGAAAATCAATGGTAACAAATCATCAAATTCAGATGATCTCAGGTTCAATAGGAAACTTATGATGCAGAAATGTTTGAACTAGTCGGTGTATTGTTCAGTTGACTCTGAAAGCTAATCAACTAGTCTTCTCGCAAACACTTTGAACTAGTCTGTAAACATGTGTTATATTGTCCTGTAGTTTCACTTAATACCACGGAAATTCCCTATGATTTGATAAAGGCCACCCAATCCCTCGTGGTCGTGGCTTCATGTAAAGTGGAATCAGACAAAAAGTTGCTTTAGTAGTAATATTAATTAAAATGCCCATTATACCTTTAATAAGTAATAGATTTTTATATTTTGTTTGAGTTTTTGTGATTTTGATACTTGCACTTCTGATTGGACTAGTAATACTTAACAACGTGTTTTGCAAGTGATTGTATTAATCTAAAATATAACACTTTTAAGATACTAAAATTTTTTATGAAATTTTGATTATCAGTTTTAGAATGGAATAATTCTTATATATATTTTTAGTTCCTTTAATCAATTTTTGTAAAAATATTTTTAAATTTTGAACTCTTATATGGGAATGTTTTCTAAAAGTATTTTTGACCTTTCTAGATAAATCATAATCCAAACACTGATGTACTGGTATTGATTCTCTATAAGAAATGTACATGCATACATCGAGTTGGGAGTAAGAACCAAAATTATGGACATTAGCAAGGTAAATTTCTCGTACATGCATATGTCCAAGGGTAAAAAAAATTGCTAAACATTAGTAAAATAAAGATTTAAGCTGTAAAAATAATTTTGATTGGATATATCATTGATGGGGTGTTAACGATCTATCACATGTAATTATTTCTAGCTATTTGTCTATTTTTTCTTTTTCAACTATGGAATTTTTTCTTATTTTATTTTATTTTATTATACTACTATCCTTTTTTTTTTGTTTGAATACATATTCATCTAATTTATTTTTTAATCAAAGGAAAAAGAATTATGGCAATGAAATTAGAGTTGGTTCGTTGTTTATAGATGAAATATATGAACAATTTTCGTTGTTTTCTTAAATATGGTTAAGTTGAACATAATTGCAATTAAAGCTAAATTATTTTTATGTTTGTTGTTTTTTAGGTCAATTTTTTTATAACAAAACATATTTCATTAATGGATTGCTAGAAAACATCCAGCATGATTGATATACATCGTTGCCCTAATGTCAGATAAAACATGTACTAAAATTGTAGATCTGCAATTTAACAGATACAAAAAACTTAAGAAATTAAGAATAGATCTTAAAAATACCATCAATTTTAAAATCATCTCCTCATAGAATAAATTGCTGCAGTCCACTCTGTGCATGTTGCAATCGTCAAATCTGCTAATCAACAATTGTAAACTCTAATAAAGTTGATGAGATCTGCCGACATAGACTGAAACCTAAAATAAATTCAGATCTGACAACTAGATCTGAAGTAAATTCAAATTTAAATAACAAAACAAGGAAAATAATACAAAATCTCACTAGGAACTCTAAGGAGAACAAAAATTCTCACTAGCAACCATAGGAGGAACAGAGAAATCCCACTAAGAAAATTTAGGAGACTTTATTAGGAAAATAACAAAAACAAAACCTATGAGAGGAAGACCATGGTGATCTCCCTCCTGGAAACGAAGGCATTCAGAAAAAAGGAGCAGTAGAGAGAAGTTGGAGAAGAAGAGTAGTAGGTCAATTTAACTTATCTTTGTTTCTGATGAATTTGAAACATATTAAAATTGAGATGCAATGTTCACTGAACTTGGACTGTTTGCTCTTTATTTGAGTACCATTACGGTTAATAAGGTGTGTATAATCCATCGGATATTGGCATTTTTTCTTATTTTTTTTCATATTCATATAAAGTAGTAGTACATAATTATGCACTATGCAAATGGCTCGTGATCTTCTTATAAAGATTTTTCAAGTCAATAAAAGGACTTTTTTTTTCTTGCATGTCTTCGGTTTGTCCCAAGAGCATGTATATTTCCACATTAATATCCAATAATCATCTTGAAATTCTAGCTATTTAACATTTTGTCATTGCTTTGAGCAAGAAATTTTAAACACAAGAAATATTAGGAAATGAAGTGCAAATGCTAGTAAATAGTTTGAAATGGGAGAAATTTTCATTCGAATCAACAACATCATTGAACTAATTGGTAATGTTTTCGTGTTCATTTTAATTACTGACATTATTAAATTAATTGGTAACATTAAATTCATTTAATTAGTACCATAACTGAAATAAAATATTTGGTTATAGCCAAAACTAAAAAAATTACTTATACTCGGCTTGCCTAGACTATTCATAATTAACAAAAAATTACTTACACTCTACTTGCCTAGACCATTCATATTTAGTATTGAGATTGGGGTTCTAGAATTTAGAAATCTCAAGCTCTAATCCCCATCTCCCTCTCCAATTTCTTAAATCTTATCCCTCCCGTACTAGTAAAAGCTTTTTGGACCGTTAGATCTTTGAAGATCGGATCTACCCAAATGTGCGTCAATACTTGATTCCTTAGCCATCAGGAAACTAATTTATTCTCCAAAATCTAAGTTGCAATTGGCTGCACCCCTTTATGATCTCTTTACAAAATTTCGGGTAAGTATTGGCTCATTTATCTTGTGAACATTTTGAGACTTTGAAGCCTAAATATGTGGTATCAAATCCTTCATCCAACCTGCTGTAATCCTGGGACCAAGACCTCTTGAACTAGTGCTAGTCTGCTACAAACTTCATTCAGGTTTTCAAACAACAAAAGAGGTGAAATTTGCTTTTAGTCTATTCAAAATAAATGTGGAATTGCCAGTAAACGATAACTGCACAATTAGCCTTACTGATCATGCTAAAAAAATAATAATAACAGACAGACAAACAGAAAAACAAACAAAGACTCAGGATGTCTGGCAATGAACATTGGTGTGAATGCACACGGATACTTCCCGGCGTGCAGGGCAGATTCTCCATAGCAGCGAGAAACTTCCATCTAAGCATGATTGAGTGAGTGATACGGAGATGATAATGATCATAACTGTTAAGATAACTCATTGATAGGATAAAAACACTTGCAACTGTCACGCAAAATACTTCAGTTTGCTATACAAGCACGCTTCCGGGATCAGAAGCAATTCTGGCTTATGGTTATTCTGGATTTTGATATTCTGATCTGCCAAGAACCTACTTGATGGCGCCAAACTCATTACCTGCATTCCCTCTTTGCTACCTCCTCTGCAGTTCCAAAGCACAAAATATTCAAAAGAAAAAGAACCTGACAGGGCAGAAACAGTAATCTAATGCTATCTAATTTTGTTACTTTTTAGCCTAGGCTAACATCCACAGATGGCCCTTATAATTTGCTTTCTTTATATATAGTTTTCCCTTTCTTGAAAGTTTTTCTTCTGTTCCGTTTCCTGTTTTGTTAATTTCCCTTTTTCATTTACGTTCTTTTATCTTACTTTTTCTCCCTCAATTACAAATATGTTCTTCTTGCCTTCCAGAATCCATTAACATTATCATTTGATCATAACAATAGGCCCGAGGTAATGGGTGAATTTAAAAGACAAATTGTTCGAGCAAAACTTTAATTTTAGTCTTTGTAGAAGAAACCAGAAGGCACATAGTTTTGAAGGCAATAGATGGTATGGTACGGTTAATCTTGACAATCTTTATCCCAAGAAGACAGATTCTTGACAATTTTTTGATTGCTCAGGAAATTCTTCACCTTTTGAAAAACAAAAGAAAAGGCAAAACTGGATTCATGACCGTTAAACTGGACAGGTCTAAGGCGTGCGATAGAATTAAGTGGACTTTTCTTGGGAGAATGATGATGCAAATGGGATTTGTCCCATCTTTGTTAGGTGGATCATGGTCTATGTTTGTTCTGTTTCTTACTCTTTTAACTTAAATGGTGGCAAAGTAGGACATGTTCTACCTAGCAGAGGCCTAAGACAGGGAGATCCTTTATCCCCTTATTTATTATCTGTGCTGAAGGACTTTCTGGATTACTCAAGAAAGCTGTGGATGACAAATCCTTGACAGGAATAAAAATCTGCAAAGATAGTCCTGTTATTTCACACCTCTTTTTTTGCAGATGACTCTTTAGTGTGCTGTAAAGCAACTAAATAGGAAGCAAGGACAGTAAAAGAGATCCCCAAACAATATGAGAAAGCTTCAGGGCAAGTGGTGAATTTTAAAAAGTCAGCAATGTATTTCAGTAGGAACACACTAAACCAAGATAGAAAGAAGATTGGTGAGGTGCTGGAAAACATGAAAGAAGCCACAAGTGGGAAATCCCTTGGATTACCAATGGCAACTGCAAAATCCAAGAACCAAGTTTTTGGGTATGTGAAGAGCAAAATAAGGATCAAAGCTGCTATCATGGCAATTCTAAACTATACAACGTCCTGCTTCAAACTTCCTAAAAGCCTGTGTAAGGATATTAGCTCAAGAATAGGAAACTTTTGGTGGGAAAATGGTGAAAAGCAGAACAAAGTGCATTGGGCCAGTTGGAAGAAGTTGACAGAGGTGAAAAGCAAAAGAAGGATTGGTTTTAGAGACTTGGAAGCACTTAATACAGCCCTGCTTGCAAAACAAATTTAGAGGTTCATCAGAGCTCCAAATTTGTTAGTAAGCAGAATTATCAAAGCTAAGTACGTGAGAGATCACTGGATGAATAAGAAACCCCCCAACTCAGCTTCTTGGACCTGGAAGAGTATTCACAATGCCAGACACCTGTTATTTAATGGATTATGGAAGAGGATTGCAGATGGAAGCACAGTGGAGATTTGAAAAGATAAGTGGATAACAGGAAGTTGCCCTCATCAAATAGACCTAAGAACTGCCGATTTCAGAGAGTAAGTGATATAATCATGGAAGGAAAGTGGGATCAGCTAAAGCTACAATAGTTGTTCAATCAAAAAGAGGCAGAGTTAATAGCCAGCATCCCTCTGAGGCTATATAGGAGGAAAGACAGGATGTTCTGGAAACACTCCAAATCAAGCTCATATACAGTAAAATCTGGCTATGCAATTGCTAAGCAGGACATACATAGTGATGGAAGGAGGAAGGAAGCGAGAGAGGACACAAGCTGGGAGATAAGAAAACACGGAGTCTGGAAGA